CCCCACAGCCTCCCCCTCCCCCAAGAGCATGCCCACCTTTCCCACAGGAATACCCCCCACAGGGATTCCCCCCCATTGACACCCTGCTCCCTGACTGGGGCAATAGTCCGAGGTGAAGGGAGACAGCAGGACACTGAGGGCCTGTCTTTGCTGCAGACACCCCTGCGCTCGAGCAGGTTCTCACAGCCGCGCTGCCAGCTCTGCCCACAGGCTGCTGGGTGTCCAGCCAGGGAGATGCTAAGGTTTGGGATGGGGCATATCCCCGGCGTCCCACGCCCCAGCCAGCCCCATGGTGCCCTAGGGGTCTTGGAGGGCCCCTCTGCCCATCCTGGGGAACTGGGCAGTCCCACAACCCTCCCAATGCGAGGAGCCTTCTGCGGCCGAGTCAAGGGGGGAGCAGCAGGAAAGGTCCCTCTGCCTGGAGCAGCTTGAGCCGGGGGGTTCTCAGCTCTGACCCTCTCCAGTTGATACGCAGAGTGGGAGGCCCCACCCCCACTTTCCTTACCCCTCTGGTCCGTGGTGCCCAGTGCCTGGATGGCTCCCTGCACGTCCTCCAGCAGGGTCTCCATGCGGTAGTGCTGCTTCCCGCGCGGGGCATCAGAGCCCCCGTAGCCCCGCAGGTCCAGCGCCACCACCCGGAACTGCCGCTGGAACTCCTGCAGCTGGTAGCGCCAGGCAAACCTGCCAACGCGCACAGCCTGGCACTCAGCCAGTGCCCCAGAGATACCCTGCCCCCCAGCTGAACCTCAGGGCCTCTGCTAGTCGCTCCCTAGCCTTCCTGACTGGCTAGCCAGGGCAAGGCGAAGCGTGGGAGGCTGAGCTGTGACTGCCCCACACCCAGCGTCGGGCATCGCAGGAGGAACACAGAGCTGGTCGATGGCACCACTCTCAGGTGCCTGTTTTAAGCCCCTCCAAGGTCCCAGCTGTCTGGGGAGAGAATTCAGGCCCTGCCCTGGGGATACAGCCCTCCTTCCAAGCAGCCTTCGGACTGGTATGTTCTGCCCCATCACCCGCCCCGGCTTCATCGCGCTCCCAGCTCCTCGGTCCATGCAGCACCAGCACAATGGGGCCCTGACCCAAGCTGAAGGGAAGCACCCTCTCCTCCCAGGCCCCCCTTCCCCCAGCAGCTGGAGACCTACCAGTTTTGGGGGAATCCGTGCAGACATAGCATGAGCAGCGCCCCCTCCTGGCCAGTGGTGACATAGTGCAAACGCAGCCCCGAGCCCTGCACCGAGCGGAAGGGAATGGTCAGCTGCATCATGGCAGGAGCAGGCTGGCACCTCCAGCGGTGCCCCCGGTTCATCCCAGCCCAAGCACTGGCCTTGTCTGCAGCTTCCCTCGTTGGCAGGGACCCTGGGGGCAGCTGGGCAGGAGGCTGGCAGAGGGTTCACGGTCCCCACGGCTGGACAAGCCGCCCCTTTCATGGGGTTTTCCCACCCGTGTCATCATGGGAGGTCTCCAGTGAAAGGCAACATCACCCAGCCCCTCAGAACCGCTGATACATGCGGGGTCAACGCCTGCGCCCAAGGCGAGCTCCAGGCCAGGCAACAGAAGAAGCTTGTGCTGCTGGCCATGGAGCAGTCAGCCCCTTTTACACACGGAGCACGATGGCAACAAGCCCCGGGGCAGGCGGACGGGGAGCGACCTTTGGGGTAACGGAGCAAACGGAGAGGCCCTTGGTCCTGCACCAGGGATGTTCTGGGGAGATGGACGGGCCTGTGACGCGTCACTGTGTGTCACTTTCCCATTTCCATCACCCTCACTCGGGCTCTGACACGACCCGTCCAGCCAGCCCTGGGGCGTCAGAGGGGACCCTGTACTGCCCCCGCTGGCCGGACTTGGCAAGTGCCCATGTTCCCGGGGCTCAGGGACTGGGGTGTTAACCTGTCCTGCAAAGGAAGGGCGGCCTGGGGGTTAACAGCCTGGAGGTGGAGGGAGCTGATGCCCAGTTAAGCACAAATAAGGCTTCCTCTAGCTGAAGGCCAGAGGGTTCCAAGGCGACTCTCTGTGCAGGGCTCCATCCAGCCCCACTGTCCTCCCATTCCCCCAGCCCATGCACCTTGAGCTGCAGGTAGTGGTGCTCCCCGTAGGAGGCATCGGCAAGGCATGGTGGAGGCGTCTCCCGCACCCTCCAGTGGAAGGCCCGACGTGGCCCCTGGGTCAGCACCACCCATGGCACCCACAGGCAGTAAGCAGCCCCAGCCAGGTAGGAGGCACTCCACAGGGCCAGCCAGTACAGGAGCATGGAGAGCTTCAGTAGCAGGCGGGTGGGGACCAGCAGCAGGCGGTAGAGAGAAAGTGCCATCTCCTCCAGCCCCAGGACTGCAGGGGAACAGGTCAAGGAGGGAGGAGTCACCCTGGGGAGCCATGGCCTCCCGTCACATCCCCCAGATGAGCACTCAGCACCCTGCCTCCTGCTATCACAGGGCCCATGAGCACCAGGGTTGGGGGATCCTCAATGCATACGGGGCTCTGGTGCCCCAGTCCAAGAGGACCCCCCAGCCCATCCTGCCCTGACCCCACCCTCAGACCAAGAAGCCCCTGAGCTACCCCACTGCACTGGAGGCCCTGGGCTACTGGGAGTGCTAGGAGGTCTCTGCAGAAACTGGGTGAGTGGTGCCAGAGACAAGCAGAGCTGGTGCCTTCTGTGCGCTGGGGCAGACAGCTGGCGTGGCTGGGTGGAGCTGAGCCTCACCTCACGCCCAGCCCAGAGCAAGAGGAACATCTGCAGGGACCCACAAAGGAGCAGCAAACCCTCAGGCCACTCCTGAACCTGCCAGGTGTGGAGAGTTCAGTGAGGGTTTTAAACAGTGACCAAGATCTTGCTTCGGCCCCCAGAAGGGCCCTTCTCACCTGGTCTGGTCCCAGCCCAGCTAGGCTGCAGGTCCCACTCACATGCCTCCTGCTCCCCCAGCTGGCAAGGCGAGGGATGGGAGAGGCTGTTTGTTTCCACAAATCGTCTTGCAGCACCTTAGAGACTAACAAACCACGTAGGGATCGTGAGCTTTCGTGGGCACAGTCCACTTTTTCAGAGGAGTGGAGTGAGAGAAGTGGGTGGTATCCACGAAAGCTCACGATCCCATCTGCATGGTTTGTTAGTCTCTAGGGTGCTGCAGGACGATTCGTTGTTTTCTACGGTTTGTTCTATTCCAGACGAATGCAGCTCCCCCTCTGAAATGTTTGTTTCCAGACAGCCAAGCCCCCATCTCATGCCTGACCCCGCCCTCTTCACTAGCCGCCTCCTCCCTGTTGCAGCACTGCGGGTCTCTGCTTGTGCCCACGTTTACTATTGGCTCCCCGGGCCCCACAGCACTCAGCCCCTCTCTGCCTGGGCTTGGGGCCTTCCCGGGCCAGCCCCAGACTCCCTCAGCCCTGTGCAGTCTAATCTAAAGCCAGCTGCAAAGTCGCTCCCTTGCCAGGCCCTGGTCAATTATGCCCACCTCCGGGCCCCTCCCACCCTCCAAGCCAGGCCCAAACCCAAACCCCTCGGTTTGCTTAACCCAGTCCTGACTTCATGGCACCTGCACTGAAAGTTGGCCAGCACCAGCTCCTCTGGGCAGGGCTTGCCTCCCTGCACACACCAGCCATGCCCGCCCCAGCCACCAGCTCCACCTCTGTAGGAGAGGGGGTGACCCTCTCACATCTGCCCCCTGTGCTGGAGGCAAAGATCACAGAAGAGCCATGTCCCTGGGCCACATCTGTCCAGCTGCAGCCCCTGAACTCAGACAGCTGGAGACAGGCCCATTCTGTGTCAGGGCTTCAGAGCACAATCCCCACCCCCAACTCCAGTGAGGGCTCAGACCCGAGGAAGATGTTCTCCCCACACTGAGACACAGCTGGGGCAGCCACAATTCATGAGGCTCCTGTAGCCTATGGAATCCAGTTGGGGTCACAGGACATAGAGCCAGAAGGGATCTCTTGGCTCATTGAGTCCAGGCCCTGCTACAGCAGGCAGCCCTGTCACCTCATCCCTTCTCTGCAAGATGCCCCAGAGGGCAGAGCAGGGGAACGGTCTGGCCAAGCCAGCCATGAGGCTGCAGGAGAACATGGTGCACTCAGGCCAGCTGGGCCACCCAGCCTGCTGCCTCTGGCCAGTTTGAGCCAGGGCCCAGGTCAGACGCAGCCCAGTCAAGGCCATGGTGACACTAGCAGGATGTGGGTGCACCTGCAGGAGCTGGCACTCCCATCAGGGTGCACCCCTTCAAGGGCTACTCAGATCTATGGCTGGGAGCCGCCTCCCTAGGCACCTTCAGGGGTCAGTGTTGACTTCAGAAACTGGAAAAGGGCTACCAGTGTCCCAACCTCCATGACCCAACCTCCCACGT